ATCCATCCATTTTCCTTCCATCCATCCATCCATCCATCCATCCGTCACCCATCAATTTTCCATCTACCCATCCATTTTCCATTCAATTTCCATCCATCCATTTTCCGTCCATCCATCCCTCCGTCACCCATCAATTTTCCATCTACCCATGTATCCACTTTCCATCCAATTTCCATCCATCCATCCCTCCATATTCCATCCAGCCATGTGTCATCCATCCATTTTCCAGGGATTCCTGGCTTATTCTGGTTACAGTCCCTGGGGACCCTGAAATCTATCCCAGGCAGCGGTACACCCTGGCCGGGAGGCATGCCAGTTCCTTGTAGCACCCTCTACAGAACGCAGACTAGCTGACAGAAACCCATAAACCGTAGAGGGAAGGTGCAGACGGCACACGCACCCACTGAGGGACCCAGGTGCCCGGCAGGATTTTACCTGCTCGTACATTTCTGTAGGTTACATTGGTATTAAACCCGCACTCATGAGTCCTGCTCCTTAAACGCCATGCCACCTAGTGGCACATTTAGGAATTAATTAGATAAATCCACCTGTCACAGGGTTTCAGCGTGGGTGTCTGTCCGAGTTTGACAGTGAGAATTGATACAAAGAAATGAAAAAATTTCACTGGTTTTAATATCCCCTGGGTGGCCACACGCACACAGTCCATGTATTCCTATCTTTGTGGGGACTCCATTCATTTCTATGGCAAAACCCTTAATCCTAACAACGACACCCTTAACCACTACCCAGCCCTGACCTTAACCATAAGTAATTTTTTTGATTGCAGTCACAGATAACTGAGGTTATCCTTGTGGGGACCGATAAAATGGGTCCCCACACTATAATAATTACAAATCCACATACAGACGCATGCTCTCTGCTGGCAGAGTCAGGTCCATGGTCCCTGTGACCGGCCTGTGACACTCAGATCCAGCCGATAAACCGGGGATGACACGCAATGCCGTTTTTTCACATTCCTCACGTAACTGCCCTCGGCCTGGAGGGGGAGGGGCCTGCGTGTCTGTGCTGTGGGGGTGTTGGTGAAGGTGAGGCCTGGATGTGGGCCACAGACCCGCCCTCTTGCCGTCCGTGTCTGTGTGAGCGACTCGCTGTCTGCAGCGACGGCGGCGAGCACCCATAGGGGATTAGTCCTAATTACCTGCTGGTGTCGCGGTGACCATGGAGGGGAGGGGATTACGTTAATCCCGCCTTCCCCGGCAGAGAGAACGCCGCAGAAAGGGCTTCCAGCACCTGATGCTTCTCTTTCTCTCCACCTCTTCATTTTTCCTCCTCCTCCTCCTCCTCCTGCCTGGAGTGTCAGAGCGAGGGAGTAGCGAGTGTGTACGCGGGCGTGTGTCAGCGCAGTCCTCAGAGCTGCCGAGGAGACTTTGGGGAGGGGGGGGGGGGGCTGTATATATATATATATTTACTCCTACGTGTTCAGGAAACGGTCGGCCAGGCCCAGCTTTTCGAAGCCGCAGTGGGCCAGGGACTTGTAGTGGTAACCAGCTCTGGGTCGTTTCCTGTGCGGGTGGGAGGGGGCGGGGGGGCACCATGCTGTCCTGCTTCGGCAGACGCCGCGAGCCATGGCGTCACGAACGGTACGGGGAGGACGACCAGCTGATTGCCGACGAGTCTCTGAGTGCCTCGAACCCGTACCTACTGGACTCAGGTAACAGCCAATGCCAGGGCCCAGCGTGTGTGTTGGGGGGGGGGGGGGGGGTGGTTGACACCTTCCTCGTTTCTGCCCAGGCACTTCCCGCAGAGGCTGTGTGTTGATTTTACGAGGAGCCGTGTGTTCAGATTTTATGATTTCTGTCGAGTGTTTCTCCCGGGTAAGCGAGGGCTCGGATTTCGTCGCTGACAGTCACGGGCTGTTACTCTCCATCGCGGCGGCCACGCCGTCTTCGCCATAAAGCCCTGATCCCGTCTCCCTTCAGCTTGTTGCTGATTTTGCTGGTATTGTAGATGTATGGAATGACTCAGGCTGTGCATGAGTGACTGTGTGTTCCTGTGTGTTATTAGGTCATTGCTCTTACCCAGAATGCAGCTTGCTTTTCAGCCCCAGGAAGGTGTCTGACAGTGTTGTGGGCTGGGGAATGGAGTTGGTTCTCTGATGTGCTTTACGGACTCGCTACTTCCCCTGCTGGGGTTGCCTGACCCGGCTGTGTGGGGAATGGGGGACCTCTCAATCAGCCAGTAAGAAAGCAGGGTTTGTCAGCTCCAGGCCTGGGGACCCACTGTTATTGGCTGATTGAGAGGCCATCCCAAGAACCCGCACCGGCCCTCCATGGAACGGGTTCCCCACCCCTAGTATGCTGATGCCAGTAGTGGTGGAACATTGGCCCCTTGATCTAGCTTATCTGCCCCTGGTATGAAGGTGCACCCTTGTCTGGCCAGTCTACCTCCCCTCTGTGGGCAGGAAATGATCTATTTCTTTGTTCTTTATTTTTGGGAGGGGGTCTCTGAGTCCAGGAAAAGCACGTTTCTGGGAAGCGTCCCAGCCTTGTTTCTCGGATGTGTGGGAGCCTTTTTTTTTTTTTTTTTTTTCTTCCAGCATCCGAGACCAAATGCGTGAACAAAGCTCTTGTCCTGAATGGCGTTTGGGATGCGGGTCACGGCCGGGCCGGGGACCTGCTTCTAAATCCCGTCTGTGTCGGCGGCCCCAGCTCACACCGCCAGGAGAAAACAGTGTCCTTTAGGGTCCGAGTGTTTTATCAAAATGCTGGGAACCGCAGGGAAGCTGACTGGGGAAAAATGTGGACGGTGAACGACGTGACCTCTCCCCGACGCCGTTTATGTCTGCCCTATGTGGCCAATGGGGAGAGGAGGAGGGAAGACCGGAGATCTCGCCGTTTCCCATATTTCATCTGACAGTCTTTGCTGGTTTCTTATTCCATGGTTTTGTCTTGCACTCTCTTGTCTTACAACACACTGTTGTGTGTCCTGTCCCCTGAGCTACAGCATAAGAACTTAACCACGTTACTTGGAACACATATAACAATGAAATGGGGAAACTCGACACTTGGTCTTTCTGTACAGAGACTTACGGACGTTATGAAGTTTTGCTTTGCAGACAGACATGCGTTTTTCTCCAGGACGAGGCTGTTGTGTCTCTGTTTACCTGCACGACTATCCTACTGGAGCCGTTCCACAAGGTCACGGGTCAGTGCCAGGCAGCGATGGTGATGCGGTCACCACGGTGATCCGGTGTGGACCGCGGGGCAGACGGTGTGTACTTGGCTGACGAGCTTGGCCCAGCTACTTGCTTAAGTACTGAGCAATATCGCGACGATTATTATGTAACAGAATGACTTCCATTGTAATTGGTATTTAGTGTGGTATTATTGAAATTAGGTATTTTTTTTCTTCATTTTATGTTTATATTGTGTTTAAATTATAAAGACAATGAGAATAGGCGAGAATTGTGTTTTGTAAATCTCTCGATAACATGACTGCAAATTGATTTGCGGGAGAAAATAAACAATCATAACATGAAAAATGAATTGTATTTCTAAACTCCCAGTTGAGTTACTTTTCTTCAGATTTCAGCTATGCGTTCTGTTCCCCCTCCCCTTACAACTTCACGTTTCTTGGTAAGCTTCCAGCATTCAAAACAATGCTTGAAATAATCTCTATAGTAATCTCCGATTTAAGCAAGTGATGTTAGTGCCGCAGTCCTCACTCCAGCCACTAGGCGGCACTGCTGCCTTTGCTACCAAGCTCATTGCGTTGGTTGTCGGTGAATCGGGTTTTGCCCATTTGCGTAGATTCTGTTGGCAGGGGAGGTCATACTGAAGTGGTCCCGATCTGCTTGCTCAGTGCCTAATTGACAGATAAGCTGTATTTCTGAACCCAGATTCTGAAGAGGCTTTTATGGGGGCTGGGATTTATGTGAATCCCCCCCCCCCCGCATGAGCATGTAATCACATTACATAAAAGTGTTAGCCAAAGAGTGCTATTATAGTAGCAGTAGTAATGCAAGTAGTAGTATAGCAATTTGTCCGTCCATCCATCCATCTTCTAAATTAGATAGAAGAACCTGGAATCTGTTCCAGTCCGTAAAGGGGAGTCAAAGACACCAGTCACATGCACGCATTTACAGCTGTACCCTGCCTTGCCCTGGGCCAGGCCGGCCTGCCCCGTGGGGTCCCGTATATCCTGGCCAGCCACCCACAGTTTAAGCTCTATTCGAACCTCTGCAGTCCAGTCTTGGGTGCAGTAGCCGCAGTCGGGACCCCCATGCTGGCAGCCTCGGACCCCGTGCATCGTGCCTGTGAGCGTTGCCTCTTTCTGCATGTTAACGGGCCGCTCGCGAGTTTCTTTTTTCAGCTCCGCTGGCGCTACAGGGAAGCGGCAGGCGGGTCCCCTGACGCTGCGGTGTCGTTTTATTCCCGATCTCCGGTTTCCACGGCAACCTAGAAGCCAGGCGAAAGGAATGTTCCCGTGCACAACAAATCGCCGTCTTGTTTCTGTAAATTACAGATCGCCCAGTTTCACCCAATCGGTTTTTAATCTGTGAGATGCCATCTAAGCCTAAAATTGACTCTTTTCAGATGGAGTTTATTAAGTGATTTATGTTTTCCTTTTCAAAATTTTACCTCTGCAATAATGGTTGGGGAAGGTTAGCCAGAGAGACTGGGCTTAGTTTTTCCAAGTACAGTCATAAGCCTTCGTTGTCGAGCTTGAGTGAGTGACTGTGGTCCTCTTTCTGGGTGGATACACTGGATTTTTGCCTCAAAGATCTACTTGGAACTCCTGGATCGGTACTCTGTTGGTTCACTTACAGGCCCATTTTCCCACAGGATTTTCATTGTAGTTAAATAAAGCACATCTTCATAAATCAGGCATAAGTTCAGAGTGAATGCAAGTCTTGAGTTGCGGGGTCAGTTTCTGTGCCCTTAAAGGGATTAGGATGAGTGCCACAGGTAGGAGGCTGAGAAAGACCGCCTGAAAAAGACCGCCCTTCCCCTTGGTTTCTGCTCATTCCAGTGGCTGTACAATGTTTGACAAGAGTCCAGCCACTGCTGAACATCCAAGACTGTGCTTCTGTTTTTTTTTTTTCCTCGTACGGGGCCACCCATCTCCCGATAAAAGACAGATCCAGCTCCCTTTAGGAGCTGCATTGCAGCTTTTGGTCCTTCCCCTGTCTCGTCGCTGTTTATCAGCTGACGTCCGATCTATAGCGCGTGTACGTCGCTCCCCGTGAATAAATACGCTGACGCCTGTGGCTGCTCTTTTGCCGTCTTTCAAGTCGACCGGCTTTTGGCAAACGCAGAACACGGTCGCCGCTTATGTGGCGTGCTATTCGTCAGCTTTTCACCTCCAGTTGAGGCTGGCTGGCCGTATGCATGTCTCTGAAAGAGAGAGAGAGAGAGCGAGAGATGTGTCTGTAGCACATTCTTGGTGCCTGGGCACCTGTAGCCAGAGCTAATGCCTTCCTCTCACTAGAGGTGAATGATTGTTTTGGAATTCTGTAGAGAGAGAGAGAGAGAGAGAGAGATAGTGGGGCACAGAGCAGAGGGGGACAGAGGCAGCCGAGAGCTCTCTGCATTCCTGTTCTGCCCCAGCACCAAGCTATGGTAAAGTGTTCCCTGTTTTTGTTTGCTTGTTTTCTGTTTATTGGGTCCGACGGGAATATTTGATGGCTGGTCTGTGGAAAAGGGGATAGAACTGGAAGCGGCAGGACCCCTGGGACACAAAGTGCTCTTTCATAGCAGCAGTATATCCAGGATCCTACCCTTGAAGACCATGTTGGTATCTTCTATCATCGCTCCAGCCCCGGCGGCAGCTCTGTCTCCTCAGAACCTCTAGTGGCCGTTTTCTGTACTGTGGTGGCCTTTTCAAGCGGACAGACATTGTGCTTCAGCGGCCCCCGGTGATTCCTGACAGGATCTACTACTTGCTTTTTGACCAGCCCCCCTCCCTCCCCAACCCTTCCTTCACCCCAGTGCAGCCAGGGGCCGATGGATTAAGCTGCTTGGCTCGCCTGCACCGTTGCCGAGAACTCAGACCTCTTGTAAAACAAGCCTGGGCAGGGCAGCTGCTTTCCGCTTGCATTTTTTAAGTGCCTGCAGAGAATCCCAGAAAGTGCATTTGTTAAGAAAAAGTTTTAATTAGTTCCGTTTTTTTTTTTTTCTCAACGAAGGACTGATTTATTTTTTTTCTTCCTGCCCTTCCAGGAATGCTATTTTGTTTTGTAAACAACTTGAGAAGTTCCCTAAAAGCAAGTTGCGGTAACTCGAGGCTTAGTTCGGATACCGGAGGCTGCGTTTCGAAAAGGGCACTGAGGCGCACCTAAAATTGGGGGAAGGTGTGTAGGTGAGACTCGGAAACACATTTAGTAGAAGACATCTGTCATGGGATTCTGAGGGTGAAAGGATCGTGGTTCATTTTGGAATGTATGCCTTTGAATGACTCTGAGAAGAGCCAGAAGCTGTGTATGTATATCTTGTGGGTCTTTTTGTTTTTTTTTTTTTCTGCCTGGTTAAAACCATGCTGGTACTGAGTGGTGGACCTACAGACATTAGCTCCCATGGTCTTGATGCTCTGCATAGAGACCGAACGGCATACCGAGTAATCCCTAACAGGACGGAGCGAGGCAGCCTGTGTGGGGCGGGGCCTACCTCTGATCATTACCACCCTGCAGCCCAGGGCTCGGCGTCTTCTGAGAACCAGCCAGGAGAAGACGAGGGAGAGCCTGGAGAGAGCCTTGGGCAGGGGCGGACCTCTCCGGCACTCCCTGGTAGTCCCACTCCAAGCTGCAGAGGCGGGACTGAGAGGGAGCCGGGGAAAATGAGGATGGACCGGTTGCTCGGGAAGCTCAGTAATAGCTGCACAGTGAAACACTCTCAGGCAGTCTGGAAGCGAGCAGCAGAAGCTCCAGCACTCCAGCAGCTCGGGGAACTGGAGGAGGAGGTTAATGCTTTGAGTCCCGGCGCTGCCGTCCCTCAGGAAGATGGCTCTCTGCGCTGTGGCCCCCCTCCACCGGTGGTGTTGCGAAGACCCCCTCGGGAGCGTCATGCCGGCACCCGAAGGGTGGTGAGCATGTATGGCTTCCAGGACAAGTCAGAACCAGCCGTGCGGAGCACTCAGGACCAGGGGAGGAGGCCCAGGAGTGTGTGTCTGCTGCCAGGGCTTGGCGGGGATTCCCTTGCGGATGGCCTACAGCAACAGAGGACCAGGAATGCAGAGATCAGGGCCAGCAATGATTTGAAGGTGGAGTCTCCCCCACAGTCACCTCCGGTGGTGCAACCCAGGTCCCGACAGCAGGTCCGGAAACCACGACCCGTCAGCATGACTGTGCTGGAACTCAAGAAGTTCGACCGACATGATAACTTTGGCCGTGATGGTGGCGGCTCCGGATTTACCCGCACCTCCAGCGACGGCACCGGCCTACTCAAGGGGGGCTTTCGCTGGAGGTTCTTTGGCAGGCCGGCTCGTGATACCGACACCTTCTCTCGTGAGGGAAGTAAGCCGGATGGCTCTCGGCGCTCATTCGCATCCCTCCGCCGAACCCTCAGCTTTCGCATCCGGAAAGGCCGTGACCACGACGACCAGGGCGAGCTTGCTCAGGCTAAAAACGACGGGCATTACACTTCTGCCCGTCCGTTCTCCTACCTCACGGGCAGAACTTTGTCGGTCAGGCAGATTCATGAGGAGGATGCTGGGATACGGCATTTGGAGTACCAGAGCAAGGGAAAGGGCAAAGTGATGGAGGTTCCCATGTTGTCGTCTAAGCTCCCTCGACCCATTCAGGAAGAGCCTAGCTTTTGGCAGCTGATTATTGCACGCTTTAAGAAAAAACAACCAACACCTGAACTCGCTTCTCAAAGCCAGGAACTTGGCATAGATCCTTCAAATACAAAGCCACTGACTGATACCACAGAAACTCCCCCTAGTGTGAAAACCGAAGGTCAAGGTAAGCACCCCCCCCCCCCTTACTCCTCTTCTTTCTTAGCTTTGGGAACCTTTAGCATGTGGGACGTTCGGCTTTTCATGCAGGTTCTTGCATTCCAAGTAAACGTTGGCAGAAAGTTGCAGATTATTCAAAGCAACATTCGTCTGGCTGCATTTGGACCGTGCTCAAACATTCCCAGGTCAGGAGGCTCGACGCTATAAACTTTGTTTTGAAGCTGTTACTAAGTCGAGCAGAAGTGAAGAATGGGGTCCTGTGGGTGGGGGTGGCGTTGGAGGAGGTGTAGAGTGCCACCCCACTGGCCTACAGGCCTCTTGATGCAAAGTCTAATTGGGGAGCTCTCATCTGCGGCATGGTTGGGGTTAAAGTTGCAGCATTTTGAAGCCCCCCCCCCCATACAGCCACCCACCTCACATCAAGCAAGCCTCTGGATTGTTTCCCAGGGTTCATGAGAGTGCCAGAGGTGTCTTGCTGACTTAAACTCACCCGACGTTATTTGGCTCACAGATGCAGCACTTATGATATTGGAGGGAGCGTCTGCTTTTTTCGGAGCTAAAATCATCCTGCTGGTTGTTTCGGTTTAAAGGTAACATGGTGAAAATCGTAATTGTTTTTGTCATATTGACACTCTTATTGCCATGCAGCTGGTCGAGAGATCATGCTAGACTTCTGATAGGATGGTTAAGGCCACGTGAGGTATTGTCTTCAGGCTAGCAGCTAATTAATGACACCGGCTTCCTTGCAGACGGCCTGTCCACCTCGTGACCCCATCCCCCTCCCCCCCCATCCCTCTTCACCATCCACCAGCACCATTAGTTCCTTTTGAAGTTTCTGTCCCCTTCCCATTTGCCGAAGGCTAAAAATGCCAGTAGGCTCCTGTCTACTGGGTCGTAACTGTGTGAAAAGCCAGATGTCATGTGTGAGACTGTCACGGCATTCTGGGCCATAAGGGGAAGAGGCTCATCGCCCCGTTGGAACTGCACGTCGACTGACCAGCGAAGTTCTTACTTACCGTGGGCCGTTGAATTTCTTTAGCAGACACTTTTATCTAAAGCAGGGGTGGGCAAAATTATCCGGTGCGTGTGCAGGTTTTTGGTATAACCTGTAGGTCAGCTGTTCAAACCCAGGTGTGAGGAAACTTCAGCCAATCAGTCCACTAATTAGTAATCTAATTAGGGAGTTGCAGCGAAAACCTGCATACACAGCGGCCCTTTTCGGATAAGATTGCCCACCCCTGATCTAAAGTGACATACATTTTTAAGAGAACAGGCTCAGACAGTCCTTGGAGCAATTGGGGGTTAAAGATTCAACTGTGAAATCACGATAGTTTGGGGACCTTTAGCATGTGGGACGACCATCTGAACACTGGTACAGTGTCCTTAACCCACTGGGCCACCCGCAGTTAAACACGCTTGTATCACCGTTTGTTAAATCTGTGTCCGGGGCCGAAATAGCAGTAACGCATCCTTGCTTCATCTCAGCCGGCTCGATCACCACACCTCAGAGGTGTGATGGGAGGAGAGAACAGAACATCCCAAAACATCTTCACAAAAGGCACAAATCTCCCCAGGTTAAGCTCTGCCTGCGGTTACATTCCAGGGGAAAAAAGAAATGCGTGTTTATTCAGAATCAGGCATAGTAATACGATGATGCAAGAGAGCATTATGAATGTAAATATGATTGTTTTTCTTGTACTATTTGGAATATTTTCTGCTACTGTGGTTGGAAGAAAATTCGTTAGATTGTTACCCCTTTGCTTTCTTCTGGATAATTTTAGAAGCCTGGGTTTAATCAGTAACTGAGGCTGGTGATTATTGCATAGTAAGGCATTCCTCAAGCACAGGTTTTTGTGCTGAGGATAATTTCTTAACGTGCACAAACGAGAAGTGCGTCAGTGCCGTGAACGTGAAGGCTGGTCCCACCCCTGGGTGTTTGTTGTGCCATGGCGTGCTCAGGAGTTGAGTGTTGGCACAGGTGTGAGTGTGTGTATGTGTGAGTATGTGGGTGTGAGTCTCCCTTTCTAAGCAGACATGGCAGGACTGAAGAATGTGGGCGTGGCCAAAGCGCTCTGCTCCGCCTGCCCTTACCTGCCTGAGGGGAGCTACAGACAACCCCCCCCCAACATAAAACCAAACTCCCCCAGGTGGGTGGCCCTCCAGAGTGTGTGGTGCCCCCCCACCTGCTCCATGCGTGAAAATCCGCTTTCATCCATTGCACTTCTAGTGTAGAAAGTTTGAATCCTAAACACATGCTCACGGTTGGAAGCTGTTTGTTGTCTCCTCTGAACTCTGAACACACCCTGGAAACAAAACCATGCCTGTATCCCCTGGAGTTGTGTAACGTGGCAGAAACATACTGTGTGGCCTCTCGAAGCCGACGAACTCCTAGCATTAGCGAGGCGTGTTAGCACGCCTGTCTCCGCGAGCAGGTGAAGCGTGAACCGGCTCGCGACAGGCGTCGCCCCCACAGCAGCGCATGTAGGTTAGAGTTCAATACTGGGATGCTGGCGTGCTGCGGCGGCCTGCCGCTTCCCGTTAGCAGCCTCTGATTGCCATACGACATGACGCGGATGGGGGTCTCTAAGGCCTGAGTGGTGTCGCAGTTCCACGGTGTTTGAATGGCAGCCACGTTGGACAAATGGATGCCAGTTCAATGTCAAAACCTCAGTCAGTTTGCCCCGGAAAACTGTAACTGTAGCTTCTTGTTCTGCAGGCACAGAGAACAGATAACAGATATATCCCCACATATTTGTATTATTCGTCAGTCCTGGTACATGGTTTCATGTTGGTGTTACAAGACTCCCTTTGTGTGGTGATGCAGGTCGATGAAAATGATAAGAGTTCACACACCATTGTTTTGGTCCCAAACACCGAAACATTACACAACCATTGAGTGTTTTCTTGGCATAAAACTGCTGAGCTTGAGAAGCTGATAAATTAAACACTGCTTCAGTATGACCCTGGGAGGACTGTGAAGCTAGTTTGTATGTAAATCTATTTGTAAGACCTTCACATATATTTATTTGTTTGCTTTCTTTGTTTATCTATCTATCTATCTATCTATCTATCTATCTATCTAATCTTTGTATGTATCTAATTTATTAATCTAATCTAATTATCTATTAATGCTGGTCCACTGATTGGCTGCAAGGGAAAACCCAGGAGTACTATGGTCTGTTTCTGTGCAGTTTAACCTGAAGGACTGATTTTGGTCTCAACATGCAGCAGTTGCTCCAAACCCATAGAAACTTTGATCTCGCCCAGACGTGAGTTGTCACAGCAACCCGCTTGCTTGTGCGCTTGAAGTCCGCCCTGGCTAAGACGAACCCTCATTCTCCTACAGCAAAGTTTGGACTTGTCTGTTTAAGAAAAATTTATTTCCACATCATCCTGGTCAGTCTCATTTGGATCCTCCCCGCAGGGTAGACGAGTTTCAGGGGGACTAAAGGCAGCTGCTCGATACCTCCCGTCACGTGGAAAGGCAAGCAAAATATATTCCCGTCACATTTTCTCACGTCTAGGTGACTAGGCCTGCCGTCCAGTGAGGCCCAGACGGGTGTATTAATTGCGCTACTGCTTTAGTGTGGAATAGCTCAATTAGCATAGCATTAACGTAGCCTCCGTTAGCATAGCATAGCCGCCATTAGCATACCATAACCTTCGTTAGCATAGTGTAGCCCCCATTAGCATAATGTAGCCTCTGTTAGCATAGTGTAGCCCCCATTAGCGTAATGTAGCGTACCATAGTGTAGTGTAGCCTCCCTTAGCGTAGCGCTGCCTGATGAGTGGCGGGATGGCTGTTGGTGCTGCTGGTCAGGATGCTAGCTATAACTGGGGATTAGGCACATGCATATGTGTGAAATGAGGGGGCTGTATTTTCAACAAAAAAATGCAATTTATTTCCGCCCCTGGCATTCTTCTGCATGTTTTCACTGCAGGGGGCATTACACACATTGCACCTGTTCCTGTACCACACTGATGGTGCTCGAAGTCTGGGGTTTATCAGAAGAGAGAGTGCAGTGCAGATTAGGGGCCCCCAAGCAATGAGGGTGCCAGGCAAGTGGGGAGTTTTTATTGTTTGCTGTGAGTCATGTGTTGCTGAGGTCACTGAAATAAGATTCTTTCTTGTTTCTGTGGGAGGATGTGGGGGGGATGTGGTGTAAGTCACATCTCTGGCAGCAGTTGTTTTATCCTGCTGTTTTTTTCTGTTCTGAATTTTGTTTGCTATTTAATCTTATCAAGTAGCTTTCATTGTGAGTCCTTGGATCTGGTAAAATGTCATCATTTGATTAAAATCTTATATTAAGTGTGTAGCTTAGCATTTGTTGTGTTTCCAAAGATTTGGCTGGGTGTTCAGTCCAGATAGATCTTAATTTAAGACGCTTTTATCCAAAGCGACGTACATTTTTGCAGAAAACAGAGTCAGATGATCCCTGGAGCAGTTCATGGTGAAGGACCTAGCTCAAGGGCCTACTCTACCGACTCTGGGATTTGAACCTGCAACCTTCTGATTATCCTCAACCTCTGAGCCACGCAGCCCTGTTTCCTCATTACTGGAAGATGTATTCATCTTTTGAGTCTGTCCTGTGGTTGCCCGGTGGACCTAGATGGTGGGTCCTGCTTCCTGCATGATTCCTGCAGCCCACTGTAATACCACCCTCCCCAACGTTTGCTTTGCTTAGAACCGGGCTGATTGAGTTAAGAGCTCATCTGTCTGACAGGTTGTGTCACCTGGGGGTAAAACAGGAAGGTGGAGATGAAGCAGAGGGACTATGTGGCTAACCTGCGTGAACGGACAATCTGTCAGAGAGGAGGGGGATAAAAGCCAGGCTGAGGACAGTCAGACTGGTATGGAGATGAGTTATGGAGCAGATGTTCACGGCAAAAAAAAATATATATTAATATTCTGAGCAGCTGATACTGTTCCTATCTCGGTATCACCATCTGACGCTGGGAAAACCCCCAGGCAGGGACTTGCGGGTGTTTATCCTTTGTCAGTTTTGT